TCGCTAGCGGTATCCCCGACTGTCTCTTCATCGGTGGAAACTTCATCGGCCACCAGGATATCGTAACCTATCGCGGCGTAATCTTGATCCGAAGGAGGCCTGATGCCCAGAGGATCGTCGCCCATAATCTTTCCGTCACCAACACTTCGCGCCTCTTCCCTTTACGCCCAGGTTCAGCTATCCAGCCCTTCTGAGCGCGCAAGCAAAAAGGCAACGTACCAGGAGTTCAACCACCAGTCAATATTCATTGGAAGTCTTGTCGAGGATATATGAGACTATGGAAAATATGTAAATTGCAGAGGGGAAAATTGGTACGTTTTTCTGTGAAGAAGGCGCCTGAAGACAGACCCTCTCTTATATGGGCCGGTCTCACTCAATAATTATAGCATCCTCCTCGGTGATAGCAATTGGAACAGTGCCAGCTCTACACCCGCAGTCTGATACGGGTACGTGGCTCTCCTTCTCTGCAAAGAATCTCGTGCCACGAGAGATGGCGGTCAGGAAAAATTCGAAAGAAATATACCAGGGCACCCTCCGGACTTGCGCGAGGATGAAATTTCTATTCTCCCCCGGACAAGACCATTGATTGTGGTGTGACGGAGCTATGTGAGGCGGGGCCTTGTCTACCCCACCGGCTTCTCCGTCACGCTAGGAGTACACACTCCAGACCTTTTGTTTTCGACACCAAACAGATGGCCGATGTTTTGCCGTCTCAGAAGGAGTGCTACTCACGGACACACTTGCCCGGACCCGTGCAAGAAGCAGAGGTAAATTTCAAAAGTCAGATATATTTTGACTTATAAGACATGCGTGGACTCAATATACCTGCTCATGCACCTAACCTCGCCTGGAATACGAAGACAGGTGATAGGGCTGTTGAACAAGGTGGGGACTGGCGACGAACACATCTCCCCGCCAGCGATTTCCCAGTCTCCTGCGCCCCACCCTTCTGAAGGAGAGATGGGTATCACTAACTGTCGATTACTTATGATACGATTGTGACCCTTCCAAACCGGGCATGCACCCTTGTTCCTAATACAGACAGTTCTCGGTAGGGCCACGAGCCTGGCATGCGAGATGCACGGCACACGCCTCTTCTCTAGAATTTGATGAGTCCATCAATATTATCCTTGTCTCGTGCAGTTGCAAATGCGAATAAATGTAGCTTACCTCGATCAAACTTCCTTTAACAGCGAGTTGAATTGAATTACATGCCTTTTCTGTATTTCCGCGAATCGGTCGAGTTCCTCATAAACCGAATAGCCTGCTTTTGAGGACGGATAACGTCAGAGACAGTGTTCAACGAGGATTCTGTAGACCAGTGAAATCAGCATTGCGCCTCTAAGCTATTGAGCTGGTTCGTTATGAGTAGTAGCAGTGATCAGGGTGAGGTCGTTGCACAGTGTGTTGATGGGAGACTCGTCGGGGAGAGGCG